TAACAATAGGAATTTTCATCCCCATTTTATAGATGAAGACCCAGGACTGTGCTGCCCACATCATAACAAAGAGAGTTATCATCTGTCTGCCCTCTTGGACACAGAACTCAGATTATGGAAGCTAGATTATCTCCAGGGATTCTTAACCTGGGGCCTATGAACTTTGCGTGTGTACGTGTGTGTGTGAACATATAGATAATTATATATCAATGTAATTTGTTTCCTATGTATTATAGTAATATATGATCCCATGTGTCATATTTTATGTATTTAAGAACATCATTCTGAGAACAAGTCCACAGGCTTCCCCAGACTGTCAAAGAAGGTAAAGCCAACTCCCCCATTTTAGAGAGGAAGAAGCTAAGGCCAAAAGAAAAGGGGTTTGCTCAAGATCACAGACCTTGGAAGGGGCAGAGCCTGTGCAGAAAACACAAGGCCCACTGATCTACTGCCAGGAAGAAGGAAAGAGGGGTCCCCACGCCCTAATTAAACCACAAGGTAAACTGACCCAGCTTCTAAGCAGGACATCCTGCTACGAAGGCCCAGAGGAAAGCACTGCCCCATTATGTCGGAATGGATGGGGAAATGACTAATTCTGGGAACTCCCTACCAAGCCCCCCAGACTATTCATTCCAGTGCAGCCCCAGCATAACCTTGGCTTCTCACCCACTTCTGAAGGTGCCTGTATTCCGACTTTGGGGAGCAAAGCACACCGGGGATAGAGGGTCAGGGGACAAGCTTGACCTAATCCCCTCTGTTCCTTGTTAGCTGTGGGCACCCTGTCTCCCCCGACACTCCCCAAGCCCAGGTCACTTCTCCTACTAGCAATAAGGATTGTGTGAATCAGGAGAGATAGAGGAAGTCCTAGTGATTTAAAAAGTTAGGAGGCCTGAACCCTCTGGGAGCCAAAGATTGTGACGGCTTCTTCCAGGGGCATCTATATTCAAGAGGTCCATTCACATTTTTATGCTGCCAGGCCTTTATTGAATCTTTATCGAACCCTCATACATGCTGCAGCCTTTTACTCCTACTAACATGCCTGAGGGTGATTAGAAGAACAAATTTGGTGTCGGGACCATAACTCCCTGTTAATAAACACGACCAACAGCTATCAGGGTCTGTATATTTACCACCAGCCAGTTTTTAAAAGCCAAGAATCTCTTCCCTCACTGAATCCCCTCATTTCTCACATCTCCTTGAGACTCAGAACTTTGCCCCTTCTCCAAACCTCGTCTCCAGCCTATCAGCCCTGAGGGGTAACCAGCAACCGGCATGCTCCTGCCTGAAAGGCCATGGGAGAAGTGGGGGAACCCCTCCAGAGGCCTGGAGTCTGCTTCAATCCCAGCTGTGAGCTCCAGAGCTCCCAGGTTCCGATCCTGTGGGCCTAGAATTTCCCTTCTATAAAGGGAGGAATAACAGAACAGACAGACAGATATCTGCAAACAGAAGGCACCCCAAAGAGTGACAGCAAAAGGGAGGCGCTCTTGCATCACATTCCCACACAGGTCAAATTTTGAAATTCTGACTTGGTACATAAGGCAAGGAGGTGGCACAGGGGATGGAGCTCTGAGCTTGGAGTCCGGGAGACCCGAGTTCAAATACAACCTCAGATGCTTCCTAGCTGAGCAACTCCTTTAAATTGTCTGCCTCAGTTTCCTCAGCTGTAAAATGGGCATAAAAACAAAGTGCTTAGCACAGTGCCTGGCAAATGTTAGGTGTTTAATAAATGCTATTCTCTTACCTTTCCCTTCCCTACCTGGTGTGTGGGCTCATCGAGGAAGTTTTCAGAAGCAATTGTAGGCAATTCAACAAATATTTATTAAGTGCTTTCAGTAGGCAAGGCACAGAGATGGTAATAATTAAAATGTTTAACTTTAAAACATTTATTAAACACCTATTAAGTACTTATATGTCCAAGCACAGGGGAAATAAAGACAACCTGCCCTCAAGCAGGTTACAGTCTATGAGGGGAAGCAAATCCAAGGTAATTTTGCGAAGGAAAGGCAGAAGGGACTACTCCACACCCTCCCTGCCACTGTTCCCTAGTGACCTAACATCTGTTGGGGGTTTTTTTGGCAAAGATACTGCAGTAGTTTGCCATTTCCTTCTCCAGCTCATTTTACAGATGAGGAAACTGAAGTAAACAGGGTTAAGTGACTTGCCTAGGGTCACACAGCTAGTAAGTGTTTGAGAGAAAATTTGAACTCAGGTCTTCCTGACTCCAGGCTCAGTGCTCCATATACTGTGTCCCCTAACTGCCCAGACCTAATATCCACTCTGTATATATTCTGTATGTAGGGTTATTTGCCTGTGGTCTTCTCTCCCCCATTAGAATGTGAGTTACCCGAGGGCAGGGACTGTGGTTTTGCTTTTTTTTTTTTTTAAATCTCCGTAGTACCTGATAAAGAGTAAACTCTTAGTAAATATTTGTTGACTGACTCCCTGATCTCCTGAGACCTCCAGGTCTCTTTAATCTATTCAGTTTTGGAATCATTGCCTTAGAGCTGAAATAAATTGATAGCTGAGTCAGCAGGTACTTCTGGTTCTAGACCATGATTCACATTCCACCCTGACCACCCTGGCCATATCCTGGCCAGCCACCCTACAGCTCTAGGTATATACCAGGGAAGGTTTTTTAAGAAAGGGAAGGGGAGTGAGGCTGGGCACCAAGAGTCTCTTCCCAGCTGAAAGATGGGTGAATAGGATCATCTAGACAGAAACAGTGAGAAAGAATTCAGGATTACTCAGCAACCAAATTCAGCTAGCATATAGGTTCCATGAAGGGGTATAGAGTACTATTAGAGAGAGCTGGAAAATAAGGGCACTTCCAGCTTGAAATCTATAATCCTAAAGTAGGGTGAAGACCAGAGAGTGGAGAGTCTTAAGTGTTTAGACTTGTTTTGGTAGACAGTGGGGAGCTCAACCAGGCAGTCACCAGGCATTTATTAAGCACCTACTACGTGCCTGGCATGCCCGTGTTAAAAATGTTAGGCAGGTCAGCTAGGCCTAACCCAATAAGACCAAGTCTTATCCAATACAACAGACAGAATCTACCCGATAACCCCTACATTTCATCCCTGCTCCCCCCATAAACTCACAAAGATGGCCTTCCGTTCCCTTAGTTTCACAGGAGCCACTCTTGCCACCATAATTTCAGTGATCCCCCTTTGCTGATCTCTCTGCTGATGCCCCCTAATGCTATAAGTCAAAGAATATCAGGTGGAGGAAATCAACAACTCATCTGGCTCAAACCGCCTCCCCCCAAATCTCCTTATAGCTTTATCAAACTATGAGATCAGCGGACATAGTCTTCCTGATTTTACAGAGGGGAAATGATTTGCCTGAGGTCATGCAACTATTAAGGGCACAAATAAGACCAGGACCCTCATCTTCTGCACCAGACTGACTCCAGCAGCTGCCCTCCTCCTCTTCCTTCTTCCTTCTCCCTCCTTTTCCTCCTACTTTTTCCTCCTCCTCCTCCTTCTTCCTTCCTCTTCCTCCTCCTCCTCTCCTCCCTTCATAAATATCCCTTCCAGCTTCCCCCTACAGTCTCCCAGGGGACTCAGGACCTCTAGCTGTAGCTGAAATCACTCGTAGAGGCCCCAGAGATCCCTTACTCAATTTCCCCAAGGGCTTTTTTTTTCCTGATGGCAGAGGCAGCTCCAGCCCAGAATCAATGAATATTCAGCCACAACAAAGAGGTTGCAGAGGTGAGCAGGCATTAGATGGCAGCCTTCCCATAATAGAAAGAGGATCTCTTTAGTAATCGGGTCCATCTCTCTGCACTCACAGTCCAGCACAGCACAGACAACTCTAGTCCGTTAGTGTGGCCCTCCATGGATATAGAGGAGGGATGGGAATGAGAAGCCTCCACACACACACAGCCAGGTATGAAGACAAAGATGAGCCCCCATACAGGTCGCATCCACTCAGTTGCTAGGATTTTAGAGCTAGAAAGTAACTTCAATCCAAGTCACTCATTTTACAGAAAAAGGGCTTAGGGCCCAGAGAGGGAAAGGAATTTGCCTGAAGTCACATAGCTAAAAAGGTTGCCAAGCAAGGTTTCAGACCCCTCTCTAGCCATTATTCCTTCTTCCCACTAAGGCCACAATGCCTCATTTCCCTAAGAGAGTGAGATTACTTTTTTTTTTCTACAAGATAGTGGCTACTCTAGTAACCTGCAGTTCAGGGTGAGCGGCCAAATTCCAGAAGCCACACCCTCAAAAGGGAGGGAAGGTTGGTAGCTGCAGGCCTGTGGGGCCTAGAACTGGCTGGAGGAATGCTTTCTCCAAACTGGATTTCCAGGAAAGTCAGGCCAGGAACAGAAGGGAGGGAGGGGGACAGAGGAAGGAAAGGCAGTCTCTTCCTTCCCTCCTCCCCTCGGCATACACACTCCACTCTTCATGGCTCTAGCCACAACCAAAAATCCATCCACAGGCCACCTCTAGGCATTTGTGGAGTAGGATACCAAAGCTGCCCCACCCCACCTGCTGGACAAGGGCCAGTCAGACCTGAAATCTCCTCACCCTTTCAGGCCCAACCCTCGGGATGTCTCCCACCTAGGTCACCAGGGGTCTAGGTCTTCTGCCCAAAATTCAGGGCTTTAGGCTAGGGACCCCAGCTTCCACAATCCTGTTTTGTCAGGGAGACTGAAGCTGGCACAGAAACCCTCCCTTCCTGGCTCCCCATCCCCCAGTCGCTCCACCAGGACAATCCCTTCAGACCTAGCCTGCACCATTAGGCTGATAGTGAAAGTGCAGGGTCTGCCTTTCCCACTTTTCAGCACTCCACCCAGAAAAACTAGACTGTATTAGGACCTGACCTCTAATCTCCAGCCTCTCAGAGAACCCACCCTCTCTATCCAACAAAGAGAAATTGAATGGGTGGGAGGATAGCTTTGTTTCTCCTTCTCCTATCACCCAGGGCTCAACCCCCACCCCCTAGACCCAAACCCCAAACAAAAGGCTCCAGAGAAGGAAGGTCAGACAATAGCCACAAACCTGAGGTTATTGTTCCCCATCCAGACCTGGGATCACTCAGGAGGGCTCCCACTTGGGTTCTGGGGGAAAGGGTAGAAAAAAACAAAACACCTTGGGTTGGTACTAGTTGAGCTGGGTTGGGAGGCATGCCAAGGATCTAGAAGGTTTTCCAAAATGTTTAAGACTGCTGAGCAGCTAGGTGGTACAGGGAATACAGCCTTGGACTCAGAAGCAGGAAGATCTGAGTTCAAATCTTGCCTCAAACACTTGCTAGCTGTGTGACAAGTAATTTAACTTTTGTCCGCCTCATTTTCCTTAGTGGCAAAACAGGGATAGTAATAGCAGCTACACCCTAGGGTTGTTGTGAGGATCAAATGAGATAATATATGTAAAGTGCATTGCAAAACTTTAAAATGCTATAAAAATGCTGGTTCTTATTATTCTGATGGTGGTGAAAAAAATTTTTTCTGCTGGGGAGGGGGAGGGGGTAGTTGTCCTGAATTACCATGGTGTAGTGAAAGACCTCTAGAATCTGAGTTAGACGACCGGGCTTTAAATCTTGGCTCTGTCACTTAGTCATCATGAATTAATAAACATTTATCAAGTGCTTATTATGCATAAGGCACTGTGTTAAGTGCAGGTGATACAAAGAAAGACAAAAGACAAATGTCTGCTCTCACTGTCAATGACTGGGCAAGGCATTCTCCTTCCCTTTGCCTCAGTGCAGGCTGTTTAATCAATTAACCAACATTGATTAAACATCTGTGCCAGACCTACAGGCAGGTAGGTGGGATAAGGTTAGAACACTGAGCCTGGAATCAGGAAGATCTGAGTTCATATCCAGCTTCACTTACTAGCTATATGATTCTGGGGAAGTCACTTAACCTCTGTCTGTCTCAGTTTCCTCATTTGTAAAATAGGGATAATAATAGCACCTATCTCTAAGGAAAAAAGAATTAATAATAATATTAGATAATAATAAGTGCACTTAGCACAGTGCCTGGAATATAGAAGGTGCTATAGAAATGTCAGTGTTAGCTAGGTGGCATGGTGAGTAGATAGAGCTTTGGGCCTAGAGTCAAAAAGATTCCAGAGTTCAAATCTGACCTCAGACACTTACTAGCCATGTGACCCTGGGCAAGTCATTCAACCCTGTTTTCAGGTCAATGAGCCAGAAAATGAGCTGGAAAAAGAAATGGAGAACCACTCCAATATCCTCGCCAAGAAAACCGCAAATGGGGTCACAAAGAATTGTAAACCGACTGAACAACAACAACAAAAAGTTAGCTATTATTATTAGCTATTAGATGCTAGAGATATAAAGGCAAAAATGAAATAGTCCTTGCCCTCATGGAGCTTACATTCTATGGAAACATATAGACATAAAATACTAATTCCAAGTGAAGGCACCAGTTACGGGGAAAATTGTAAGGTGAGGGGGTTGGATGAACTTTAAGTCCTGAGATCCCCCAACCCCTATGTAACGGGGGGGGGGGGGGGGGGGTGTCACATCGGGACAGACAAGGCAGGCACAATGGAATATCACTTTAGCTCTGTTAAGTGAGTCAGTCTCTCTTTCTCCCTTCTCAAAATGAGTCTGACGACTAGGCGAGGGGGGCTTGACAAGCCCCCTCCCCCAACTCTATCTTCTATTGGAAATGTCAGCCCTAGAGAACTACCCACCCACTCATTTTACAGAACAAGAAACAGCAGCTCACAGGGAAGTGACTTGTTCAAAGTCGAGAGTTTATGAGTGAGTGGTGAATCCAAGCCTTGGCCCCAGGTCCTAGGCAATACAGTCCAGGAACAGTGAGACTGGGAGGAGGCAGGCCTGAGCTTTCCCAGCCTCACTACAGTTCAGGGTTAATAAGACCCTTGAACAAGTTCATGCCCCACCCAGGATTGTTAGTGAGAAAAGTGCTTTGTAAACTGGAAAGCCCTCCAGAAACATGAGCCATTGTTTCCCTTAAGTCCCACTAAAGGAATTTTAACCTTTATTATCCCAAGTGTGAACTTGTGTCCTGAAGCAAAAAAACATATATTTCAATCCTCCATATTTCCAGGTTTGCTTTCTCTGCCCATTCACATTAATAATTAACTTCACGACCACATCACTCCTCAGCAATGCCGTCCTGGATGAGTAATGGCATGGCAATCCAGGGGCTCTGGGTAGCTGTAGCTCTGGCCTTTTGTTAGGGTTTCATAATGGGAAGGGGCTGGTACCGGAGCCTCTCCAAGTGTACGAACAAAGACTCCACATTCCTCTGGGAAGGTGTATCAGAAACTAGATACCCATCCAGGAGACAGGAGGCTTATCCCTCACCTCTCACTCTACCAGACACTTGGGAAGTCTAGGGAGAGATAGGGAAGGAGGAGAGGGGCAGAGAGGGAGGACACTCCCAATTTACACACCCAGATTACAAAGAGCAAAACTGGGGTCACAGCCACCCTCCTCCAGCAGAATGCCTGGGGGAGATTTCACTTTCTCTTCCCCACACATTCAGCCCCAAATCATACATCATCTTTCCCAAGACTGGGTTCCCAATAACTTCAGCCCCACCCCCCCCCACCCTAACATTGCTACAAAACTGCGGATTATTGCAAGAAATGATAAACAAGGAAAAGAACCATCTTCTTACTGGGGGCCTTTTCCAATCAATAACTAATCTCAAATCGGGCACCAATTCAATAAGGAACTCTGGTTAAAAACTAACTCCCCGGACAGCGGCTGCTTTACAAGAATGAAGCTATAACTCAAAACTGTTGCCAAGATCATGCTGAGATGGGTACCCACCCCCCCTCACCTGGAGCCTCCAGACACAAAAAGGAGTTGTCACCGTAAAAGAGAGCCTAGCACACCAGTCCAAAGTGAAGCCCTAGGAAGTCTACCCCCAGAGAAAGAGAGCCTTAATTAACCGTTTACACTGAAATCTTGGCCACTCCAGCACCGGGCAGATGCGCCCTGTCCTGGTTGGGCTGTCCTAAGCCCTTTAGCCTAGTAAGAGCCGACCCATGCATGCACGCGCGCGCGCCCCCACACACACAGACTCCCGCAGACACACACTCCAGAGCCCACGCACACCCGAGAACCCACGCACCGGCACACACCTGCAGGCCACCTGGCGTACCCGGGAAACAGAGCTGGAAATTCCGGGCTGACTCCACATGACTGTCTAGGGATGGCACATTCAGGGGGAAGACAGGCAGCTCGGGCTGTCCATGGGCTCTCTCGGGAGGGAGGGAGCGCCAAGCCACTGGTTAGCGTCCCTGCTCCTGGGGGCGTGGGGCTGGCAGAGGCAAGGACAGGGAGCCGCTGCCGGAGATCACGAGCGGGTGCACTGGGGTGGCGGGGCCCTTGCCAGACATGGTGTGTGAGCGCGTCCCGACGCTCCCATCCGAGGTGGGAGAGCCACCACCCCGCCTGACATCACAGCCAGGCAGCCAGAATAGTGGTGGTGGAGGCTGCTGCCGCCGCTGCCCTTCAGCAGGGCACAGGCACCAGCTGCAATAGCAGCAGCAGCAGCAGCATGCTCAGCTCAGCTCCTCCTCGCAAGAGATGCTGCATGGATGCGGGGAGGGAAGGCGAAGGAGAGAGAGCGGACACAGAGAGCGGGACCAGTGGTGTCCTGGCAGCCAGCCAGGGGACTCTCCACCACCTAGGCTGCAAAAGACTGCGGGTGGCACGGGATTGACGCCTGCTTGCCCCCAAACCCTGAGACAGCTCCCACGACCTTGAACCTCAGTCACCCCAACCAGCCCAGGAATGAATGCGGTGGCGCTTGATCCCGCCAAGCATGGAATGAGAATGAATGAATGAATGAGTGAATGAATGAATGACTCGGGACATCACTAAGCATCAGATGACACCACACTACTCCAACTGCCTAGCCACCTCTCCCCTACCCTTCCTCCTCTTCTAGGTTCAATCAGGCGGTGGTGCTGACAAATTTCCACCCACCTCCCAAAAAACAATAGTCAATTTAGCTTAATTCCCCTCCTCCTCCTCCTCCTAGAAGCCTTCCCGGACTACCTCCAGGCCAAACTCTGGGCAAGCACTCATAGCTGTGGAAGCAACCTAGGGATCATAGTCCAGTCCTTAGATCTCTTCTTTCTCTCAACTCAGGCAATTCTACTCATTTGCAGAGGCAGTCTGTCTCCCATGCCTGGTATGCCCTCTCTCCTCACCTCTTAAAACCCTTAGCTTCTTTCAAAGCTACTCAAGGGCCATATCTTGTAGCAAGCTGATTCTGAATCCCCTCCCTTTCTCTCTCTTGCTAGGATCCTCTATCTCAAACTAGACACACACACACACTCTGTATTACTTATGTACACATATATTATTTTCCCCAATCGTTAGCTACTTGAGGACAAGAGACTTTTTTTCTTTGTATCTCTGGTATTAAACATATAGGAGGTGCTTAATAAATGCTCATTAAATTGATTTAATCTTATATGGTTTCATATTAAGAGACAACATGTCCTAGTGGAAAGTTGACCTCCAAAAAGAGATGTGTTCAAGTCCCATTTCTGACATACTGGCTATGTGACCTTGGGCAAGTCATTCTCTCATGGTCCCCCAAGCAACTAAGTCTCTAAGTTGTAGAATGGTGGCAAGTCTGCATTGGCAGAGGCAATTTTCTTATTAGAAGTTCCCCACATCAATAGGATCCCAGATCTACTAGGGAAAAAATGGTCTCATATCTACCATAGCATGTAATTTCATGAAACTGACCTCCTTAAGGGAAGCAGCAGGTACAGTGGAAAGTGACCTGAATTTGGTGTTAGAGGAAATCAGTCCTAATCTAGGCTCTGCCACTATCTGTGTGATCTTGGGGAAGTCACTTTATCTCTTTGGGCTTCAGTTTCCTCATTTGTAAAATGAGGGGGTGAGCCTCTACAATCCCTTCCAGCTCTAAATTTATGACCTTATCTTTTCCTATCCTTATGCACACCGTAGGCTTGCTTTTACTTATGCCCATTCCTATTCCTGGAATTCAATTAAATAAACGTGAATTCATTATCTGCTCTATGCAAACAGAACACTATGCATGGTGATACTAGGAGAGATACAAAGTTTG